TCTGAGTAAACTGGTAGGATATTTCAAACAAGGGCTTTTATCTAGTGATTATATTGGTTGCATTATACTTCATTATTCATTCTCTTAAATAAATCGCAGCTTTTTTTACAACATATTCCCATTTTGCACAAAACAAAAAGCTGAGAAAAAGACAAATGAAGCAGCCTTGCCACAAGCAACAAATGTAAGCAACAAAATGAGGTACAATAAACCTAATTTTGCATAGAAAAGAAAATCAAATATTGCATAAAATTATAATTCATGTTGTTTCAAGATATTTTAAAAAATGAATTTCACGGAATAATCCTTAGTGGTATAGCTTTACGATATTTTACTTTAATAGATATCATCATTAAAATTTCAAAGTTCATAATGTACATTTTCTAAAAGTTGGCATCAAATGCTAATGAAGGGGGTTACAGAGGACTTGCCCCCCTATCTAGGGAATAAACAGAAGGTAGGAAAGGTTAGGTTTAGGTTTTGGGTTCGTATGATACCTGCCCTTGGGACTTTTGTCACAAGGCACCCAAATACCAGGAATTTCCAGATTTCCAAAAATTTCCCAGGATCACATTGTTTATTAGGCAATCTAGACCCAGTACATATACAACAGTCTATCACTACTGCTGGTTCTTCTTATCTACTATAATAAATCTGCCTACTAGTGACCATTTACATTGTCTTTGTGGTAATTCTTTACGGTATGGATGTACACACCAGAGACCAAGTCCTCAACTCCACATCCAAAAAAATTATTCATCAATCTAAGTTGCCGTAACTGGGAATGCCCTTTCGGCACTGCCAGAGTGGAGGGTTGATGGCCCCCCCAAGAAACACAATCTTCACCTCGATATGCAAAGCAAGATAGAACAAACTCAGGAGCACCGAGTGAACTTAGACTGAGGGCGGCGTTTCCGCAATCTCTTTCCTTTATTTGTTGCGTTACCATTTGTGTCTGCAGATTATTACTTGTACCAATGACTGCAAATTTTTGTCCTCTAGAAGACTATAATATTCAATTTGCTCTAAGTTAATGCCTCCATACCGTAAAGATTAACCATCTTTGTAACCTCATTAGCTATTCCACTCTCATTGTACAAAGGCAACAAAAACGTACTATGCATGCATTTAAATGTAAATGTGTATGTGTATGTGCATGTATATATATATATATATATATATATATATATATATATATATATATATATATATAATCATGTATATATATATATATATATTTTTTTTATATGATATATATATATACTATATATATATATATATATATATATATAATCATCTATCTATCTAATGATCTATTTACAGATATGATTAATATCCATTGAACTCCTGAAAAATTACCATCTTCTCAGAAAATTCAGGAATCCTACATTTATGACAAGAACTCTCATTTTGCGAGTCTTCCTGTCCAATGAACCAGGATCTACTTGCCCATAGTGATACAGGTGCCAAAGAGAAAACAGGATTTTGGATTCCCAGTACACACTCACATATCTTCTCAGTCGACATCTATTGCCCTTTCACTAAATTGTCAACAGGCACAGAAGCTACTGTACTGACTTGACACTGAATCACTGTAATTGCTATCAAAGACACAAACTAAAACTAATCCTTCTGGACAGTATAAATCAAACGCAATTCATGAATACCAAATTCGTACACAAATCTAGGTTATTTCCTAAAGTGCAAAATCTTTTTACAATAGCTGCAATCTATCTTCAATATATATATATATATATATATATATATATATATATATATATATATATATATATCAAAATGACATTAATACTGAGAGTGATAGCTTTTATACTGTGATGCAATGATGTGTATGTGTGCTTATGTTCAATAATGCATAACAGTACTTTGACCAATTACATCTTTGTAAGATATAACCAAAACTACACAAAGGTATCTCTTGGAAATGTGTAGTAATTCGTTCTCCTTTATACCTTTTCCAGAATACTTCAATTAATAAATTCATTAAAAATACATAGTGATTCTTGACTTCATACAAGCTATCAAAAGATATCTAAACTGGAGCTTGAGACACTCCTTAAAATAAAAAAAAGACCATGGCTAATTATCTACAACTTACATGTGAATAACCATCATAATATCCTGATTCCACTTTTGTAGCTAATTAAACCAGTAGTTAAATACATATTCTATCTTACTGATTTCTAGTGATGTATTGCATTATGATATTTGGTAGATTTTAAAAATGTCACGATGATTTAATTTTCACAACCCTAATAGACTTATTCTCTAATGGTTTAAAAAAAAATAATCAAGTAAAAATAATATTGCAAATCATAGCATGTCATACAATTAGCAAAGACATTGACAATTGCGATCGAACAAGAGGAATAAATAAATTAAAATGATTTTCAACAAATCGTTTCGACAAATCAAAGTGGTTCGACGAAATCAGTCGACGTAATCCCATGTCACATGAAAGCTTCTAGAGAATCTGTTCACGTGATAGCCTTCCTATCATGCTTCTTCGTTCCGTGCAACATGCAGCTGCAATAAAAGGGAAAAAGAAGGAAAACGAAAGACAGAAAACCTTAATCAATTCGGAGATCTGCTGAACACTGTGTTTACACCCGACACCTGATTGCTACTGAAACTCCAGTGAAGGTAAGAGATCTGGTTATTTCCTCCAATGAGAATTCAGATCGACAAAAAGGGGGTGATGCTATTGGTCACACATATGACAAGTAAGAAATCACTCAATTTTATTATCCAGCAGATCTTCTCCAATCAGAAAAAAGATAAGCTAAAAGATGCGATCTCATTGGTCGCACAAACGACAGGCAGAAAATTACTCAACCTAACAAGTCACTTGACCTCAGCCAATCAAAAACCTCCATCTCCGGTATGTGGATTGCGATTGGTCGATTTTTGACATGACCTATAAAAGATGCGCACGCAGGACATGGCAGATATCACCATTTGGCATTGCAATTAATTAATTCATCTCTAATTAATCTCTTCATGTGAAAGATCCTTTTATCGAAGCAATAGAGTGCTTCGTTGATATCGAAGAGAGACCTGTATTTCACACAGCATCAATCTATACCTTACTTCATTTAATATTTAGTCTCTTCGCTGTGCTGCGGATTCTGTTGAGCTCTGGCGAAAAATTTTAAATTGGGAAAAGTTCATCACATGTGCATCCAACGAGCCAATTTTTCGTCTACTGATACGAATATATTTGCCAATTATAGCTAGTACAAGCAGAACGAACTAAGAGCAGATTGCTTTTTAAGCAAATAACATGCTGTTTATAACATTTAATAGCCTGTCCCTCGCATCCTTATCATAAAACATAATAAAATCGCCTTTCAACCCAAATGATTATTCCTAAAACGACAGACCTTTACAAATGTGCGAGAAGAAAACCCAAGAAAATAAAAATCCGACCAAAAATGTCAAGTCAAGCTTCGCGCGCGGACGAATGCCTCCCGCGCGCGACAAACTAGTCCCTCTAAAAAGGCCAACATTATACAGCTATCTTTGCACTTATTGCTTTCATTTTGGGATAGTTGCCTTAAAATCGTAAACTCTACCGAAACGTAAACCGAAAAAGAGCCAAAAACAGATCCTGGGCGATCTTCATTCAGACCCTCCATGACCGCAAATCACTCGCAGATCCGTCTGAAAGAAGTCGGCAAAATTACATGCTATTTTAACTGCCTTTTCGCCCGCATTTGGGCTCAAGCTCTCTCCTACGGATAAATAAAGCATCTAGGTTCCCAATTCTCTCAAAAACAAGACGCATCACTTCCCTTCCCTCTTAAAAAACGCATTAGAAGGCGAAAGACCGAGGGAGGTGACCAAACATGGCTGAGAAGCCGAAGTTACATGCCATTTTCCCTTGCTCCTGACCCTTGTTGCGCCTCACCCTGCTCCCTGCATGCAAAATAAACACCAAAGTTCCCATCCCCCAGCAAAGCATTCTCTCCCGACGTCCCTATAGGCTCTAAAAAGGAGCTAGAAAGCCGCAGAGGCAGCGAAAAGCCAAACATGGCGGTGGCCGAGGCCGGGGCGAGCGTGTGCACTAAGGCGTCGCTGAGCATTTATTGTTGCGCCGCCGCCATTCCCAACCCGAGACAATTTCGTGCTCAAGGCTCTTCCTACATGTCCCGATCGCCTCTCAGCGCTTATATCCGGTCTCCAGTGTAGCTCCTTCAGGATCTAGGAGGCGTGAGATGCGACAATTCCAGGTAAATATGCTCTTTGGAGGGAGAAATCGGAGAGAATTTAGTCGTTTTGGAGTGTCGCTTGGACGAGAGCATTAGGCTTCGTTTGCATGGCGTTTTTGGGGCCTTTGCCTTCCCCTGGGTCTCCACAGGGGACTTTCACGTCGGATTTCGAGGCCCAGAGGACGCGGCGAGGCCATTTCCACGAACAGAGGAAGAAGAAGTGGACGGGAATAAATACGGGAATAAAGGCAACATTTGGAGGCTCTTCTCCCCCCCCTCTGGCTCTCCCCCGACCCCCCCTCGCCACCCCCTTTGACGGTAAACAATGGGGGGGACGTTGCCATGGCGACCACACCCCTCCTCCCCCTTTCTCCCCCTTTTCTCCCCCTCGCCCTCTTCTCCCCTCCCTCGCCCCCTCCCCCTTCCCCCTCTCACCCCTCCTTCCCCCACTCGAAGGGAGGAGGACGGCGGGGGAGAGGCCTTGGGGGAGCCCCCCCCCCTGTTTTCTCCCCCTTTCCCCCACTTCCTCTCGCTCCCTCCCCCTCCCCCTCCTCTCCCCTCCTCCATTTAATAAATATGTTGCAAATGCATTAATCCTTCAATTTTTTCCTTTTCCTTTTTCTCTCTTACGATTTTATCGGACTGAAACGAGAAGGAGGAGAAAGGAAATAAAGCGGAGACGAGGAGGAGAGAGAGAGATAAAAGGCGAAGTTGGAGCAAAGGAGGGGGGGAGATTGAAAGTCCTTGTTATTATTATTTTTTTGTCTTCAGTGTTTTTAGGGGGGGTTCTAGGCCTATGGAAATTTGACTTTCTTGTGGCGGGGGAAGTAAATTTTCTTTTCTACCGCAAATTGCACAGGAGAACACGGGGAGAAGAAGAGGAGGAGGAGGAGAAGGAGGAAGAGGCAGAAAAGCCAAGGTAAAATGGAAGTGAAAGAGAAGGAAATGCTGAGTCTACCCATTTTCCCTTCTCCCCCCTTCCCCCCCTTTCCAAAAAGTGAAATAAAAGACTCCAGTAGCAACCCCAGGCTGGGAGGGGAACCCTAGGCTTGAAGAAATTCACGAGGTTCTTCATGGCTTGGGACCTAGGCTAACCCCTCTCTGGTGTAGGCAGAAAGAAGTTTGTTTTTGTTTTTTTATCGTGTTGGTGGATTTGCAAAGGTGTTTTGATCATGCGTGCAGTGAATTGTGAGGAATTTGTGCCATTTTTGTATAGTTTGTAAATTTGTGTGTTAATATTTTGATTTCCTAGAATATTTCGTCCCATTACTGTACACGGGTCATTCATGTGTTCCTTAAGTACTTTCTGCATA